ATGGTTGTGAGCCACCATGTGGTTGCCGGGAATTGAACTCAGGACCTTTGGAAGAGCAGGCAATGCTCCTAACCACTAAGCCATCTCTCCAGCCCGATTTATTTATTTATTATGCATACAACTTTCTGCCTCCATGTATACCCACACGCCAGATCTCATTACTGATGGTTTGGAGCCACCATGTGGTTGCTGGGAATTGAACTCAGGACGTCTGGAAGAGCAGACAGTGCTCTTAACCACTGAGCCATCTCTCCAGCCTCTGTAAACTATTTTATAACCTAAATAATTAATACTCTCCTCTGTATTTTTTTCAGGAGCAACGTGTATTTCCCAACAAAGCAAAATTTTCTTTACTTCTTCCAAACATTCTTACTAAAGTATCTACACTTGAATCAGATAGCAAAATGTCATCCATGTAATGCTAAACTATAGATTCAAGAAATTGTTTACAGGGGCTGGCATTAGGTTCTTTAATTGCTCTGGGAAGGAGTACCCTCTATGATTGCAGGAAAAGACTGAACCAGATTTGGCATAGGGGCCTGAAAGAGGTCACTCATGGAGTTTTCCAATGGCACAGGATTAACCATGAATATTCCTTGTTGACCTACATTCATTAGTAGAATGCCTGCCTTTGCCAAACTCATCTGCCAGTCTAGGCCAGATGAGTCCTGTGGCATTTGGAGACCACGTGATTCTGGAGTTTGAGTGGCAGCTGGAGACTGTTTCAGAGAGGCTACAATAGGAAAATCCCAAACTCGCTCACAGTCTTGGGGAAAAAGGAAAAGAAAGCCTAGCCCTGTAGCGCTGGAGCCCCACATGCAGCTCCAGCCTCTGCCTATAGCTAAAAAGCCACAGGCAAATGAATTTTTCATGAATTCATACTCAAAATGTTGGGTGCCAAATGTAGCATGGTTAATAAAAACCCAGAGACAGATATTGGGGTTCAACCTGAAGATCAGAAAAGCAAAACAGCCAAGCCACTAGAGAGCTATTACCTCAATGAATTCTTCAGGCTGAAAAAGAGCTAGTTTGTGTTTCCTCCTGTCTTATATTCCTCTCTATTGCTGGGATTAAAGACGTGCACCACCACTGCCCAATTTATATGTCTAACTAGTGTGACTGCTGGGTGAGTTCCAAGACAGCTAGGGCTGTTACACAGAGAAACCCTGTTTAAAAAAAAGGGGGGGAGGGTTCTTTTGTATATATGGGTGTTTTATGTCTGTGCTCCATAATATGTCTGGAGTAGGAAGAAGTCAGAAGAGGCCTAACATAACATCAGTGCAGCCATGACAGGCTGTAGGCTAGCAAAACAGGTACTAGGCCTCACACTTACAACAACTGCCAACCAGTGACCAATCAGAATTGAGACAAACAAGTACCAATGTTCCAGAACATTAAAGATAGCTTACATAACGTATAGTTTGCCAATTTCCTTGCAATGCCAACACTAATCCCTGTTTGACAAGACTCCTTTTGCCCCACTCCTGCCCAATCAGGAGTTCAAGCCCCATCTGAACCCATCTGACCCTACCCCATCCTTTACAACTTAAAATCCTGCCACAACTGAGCTCAGTATTCTGATCCAGCCACTGTGTTGGAACGAATGGAGGGGCCAAGTTCAAGCTTGCAGGAAAGGCTCTTTGCTTCAGCATACGAACTGGTGGTCTCTGGGGGGGACTCATGACACAGGCATTAGAATTGGAGTGGCAAAGGCTCTCAGCAGTCATGAGGGTGCTCTGAATAGGACAGGGTCTTCCGGAAAAGCACATCTCTGCAGTTCCTTATGTTTGATGTATATGTATTCAGGGCTGAGTTTGATTCCCTTGAAGGAGAGAACCCACTTACACACACACACACACATTCTCTAAATAATTGTAAAAGAAATATTTTCTCTAAAAGAAATCACTTCTTGCCGGGCGGTGGTGGCGCACGCCTTTAATCCCAGCACTTGGGAGGCAGAGGTAGGCGGATCTCTGTGAGTTCGAGACCAGCCTGGTCTACAAGAGCTAGTCCCAGGACAGGCTCCAAAACCACAGAGAAACCCTGTCTTGAAAAACCAAAAAGAAAAAAAAAAAGAAGAAAAAAAAATCACTTCTTACGTAACAGTACAACAGTAATTTTATTTTTCTTGGTCTTGGAAGTTTCTTGGTCCTTGTTAAATAAGGTGTCTTTAGGAATGATGCATAATAGCATAAATAGATCCACCTTTTTAAAAAAAGCTGAACAATGATGATGCACCCTTTTTTAAAAGATGTATTTATTATGTACAGTATTCTGCTTGCATATATGCCTGCCCAGCAGAAGAGGGCACCAGATTTCATCATAGATGCTTGTGGACCACCATCTGGTTTCTAGGAATTGAACTTAATTAGGACCTTTGGAAGAGCAGCCAGTGCTCTTAACCTCTGAATTGTCTCTCAAGCCCCTTTAGAGCAGCACACCTTTAATCCCAGCACTAGGGAGACAGAAGCAGGTGGACCTCTGAGTTCAAGGACTGCCTGGGGTGGTCTGAAAAGCCAGTTCCAGGGCAGCTAGGACTGTTACACAGAGAAATCCTGTCTTGAAAAAAAAAAGTCAATTATCTATAAAAGGGGATTAATAAAAAAAGAGGGGAGAGGGATAGATGGAAGCTAGAGAGATGGCTCGGTGGTTGAGCACTGGCCGCTCTTCCAGAGGACCTGGATTCAATTTCCAGCACCCACACGGGATCTCACAACTGTAACTTCATACTAATGTACAACAAATATTTTTAATTTTAAAGGGCAGATGTTAAACTGTCATTTTAAATGCTACTATAAATCTTGCCCCAAAGCTAGAGAGAAACCCTGTCTCAAAAAAAACCCAAAATAAGAAAACAAATATTTGCCTTATTTAAAATAAATGGTCGAGCAGTAGTGGTCCATGCATTTCGTCCCACCACTCAGGAGTCAAGAGTCAGGTCTATAGAGCAAGTACCAGGATTCCAGGACAGGATCCAAAGCTACAGAGACACCCTCCCTCGAAAAACCTTTAAAAAAAATTTTTTTTTTAAATGGTGGTGGGAGTGGGACCTAGGACCATGGTTTCCCAGTTAAGGTGGTTGCTTGTCAGAGACAGGAAGTCCCAAAAGCAAACAGGCTAACATAATCAGACCAGTCATATTGGTAAAGTCTTGGTTTGATAGACCTTGACTCAGTTAGTTTGAATATTCTCTTCCAGTGTGTATAATACAATAAAAACTTTATAATAATAAAATATTAGGGCTGCAGCTTTTATCCTCTCTAAAAGCAATTAGGGGAGGGGGTGGACCAGAGAGATGGCTCAGCAGTTATGAACACTATAGGTTTTTCTGGAAGTCCTGGTCAGTTCCCAGCAACCATATGGCAGGTCAAAAACAATCTGTAATGAGATCTGGCAGCTTCTTCTGTCCTGCAGGCATGCATGCAGACAGAACACTGACATAATCTTAGAGAACAGTAGGGCTCCTCCTTTGACTGTGCTGTAAAACAGCAAAGTGAAAACTACCTTCATCCCCCATGGTTTTGGCAGTAATGTTTTAACCCAAAAGAATCAACACTGGACTGACAGTTGCACTGGTCATTTCACAGGGGTTGAGTCAAATTCAGACTCATGACATGACAGGGTCTTGTCATGCTGCCTAGCTTTAGGAAGGTATTTAAATAGTGAGACTATTAAGGTATTGTTAGAGAACAGGTTGAATTAAGTGATTACACCTGCCTCTAAGCAACCAATTTCTATTTTTCAAGACGGAATTTCCCTGTAGCCTTGAAGCCTGTCCTGGAACTTGCTCTGTAGACCAAGCTGGCCTTGAACTATACTCCTGTTCCTGAATGTGGGGACCCAACACCACCTGGACCTATTTTTTTTTTTTTTTAGTTGCTTCTTTTCTAATAAGAAAGGGCAGGTGAAGATCTGGAAGGAGCAAATGGAGGGGAACTTCTATTTAATAGAAAGTCTTTTTCCAGTTAAAAAAAAAAAACCTATTCTTAAGTGAAATATATAACTTTTCCTTCTCACTTCCGTTTAGCCCTCTCTTATTACTCAGTTTGCTCCTGCCCAATCATCTTGTACTGGCCATTTTCATAAGCATACTGTTAATTTAATGCTCAATGTTGTAATGACTGATTTTAGTTTTTTTTTTTTCCCGAGACAGGGTTTGGAGCCTGTCCTGGAACTAGCTCTTTTTTCGCGACAGGGTCTCTCTGTAGCTTTGGAGCGGAACTAGCTCTTGTAGACCAGGCTAACCTTGAACTCAGAGAGATCTGCCTGCCTCCCGTGTGCTGGGATTAAAGGCGTGCGCCACCATTGCCCAGCTTTGATTTTACGTTTTTATTAGCTTTTAAGTTCAAGAATATTCACATCCCTTTCTATTAAGTGATAGTTAAGACTCATGTCTAGGGTAAGGGATACTTGGGAAATACTCACTCCCCCCTCCCAAGACTTTCCCAGCGACAATTTTACAGATGTTAATCTATCAATGCTCAATACTACATGAGAGGACCTGCTGTGAGGAATAACAAAACCACATCTAGACTTCTTGAAACTGGGAGTTACCTACCACCTCATATAGGTGTGCTGGGAACTGCACCTAGCTAGGTCTTCTGCACAAACAAAAGACCTCTTACATTAGATTTAGCCAACTTTCCTAAAAATTGCCAAAGAGCTTTGCTAGCCAGTTCTCCCTGGCCTGACCCACTTTTCTAGGTTGTTAATCTCTTGAAATTCTCTGAGGGATATAGTCTAGCTAGCTCTTTTCTTTGCCCACATGTAAGACCTGACTAGCTAAAATATCTGCTAAGTTTCAGGCTTTAGCTAAGCCAACTAACTAGCCGGTTCTTCCAGCACCAATGAGAAAGATTTCATTGGGTCTTCTTGTAACCCTGCTAAGCCCCAGTTTGATCATGTATGTGTAGGACACCAAATTTGAAAACTCATCTTTGCTACCTTCAGGCACAAAATCAGACAAATTCAAAGAACAGCCCTACTTGAACAAAAGACAATCAAGATTTTAAAATATCTTTATTAAATGTCAGTACGTTCATTCCTCTTTCATCTTGATTCATTTTCTGATACAGCTCTCACTTGATCCTGTCGATTAAAAAATATGATTAATCCAAAAGAACAAAGTATCAAAATTTATAACAATTTACTAAGGTCTAACATCAACCAATTTTTTCCTAACCCTGCTAAAAATCAAGGAATTGGTGGAAGTTTTGTAGTAGCAAAGAGTTTAAACTGCAAGGTCAGGTGTGTAGTTCAAGGGTCTTCCTAACAGTTTCCATGAAGCTCTTAATTCTTTGCACCACACCAAGTTTGGTGACACCTTCCTATAATCCAAGTTCTCTGGATATAGGAGGACCAAAAATTTAAATGAAAGGTCATGTTTTACTTCATAGCAAGCTCCATGCCATCCCAGTACAAACAAGGATATCAAAATCTGACCACCATTTTACTTACCTTACTGTCTTTCAGGCTAAACATACGAATTTCCTTCTTGGTTGGCCCATGTTGTGTGGTCTCTTGAGAACAAACATCTTATTCCACCTATAAAACAAGATTTAAATTACATCCCATAAATTTTAGCCTTTGTATTTTGTACTGGTATTAACAAAAAGTAATTTTGGGGAGCAAAGACTGAACACTTCTCTTTTCAAAGAAAAAAATTTTTTTTTTTGGTTTTTTGAGACAGGGTTTCTCTGTGGCTTTGGAGCCTGTCCTGGAACTCTTGTAGACCAGGCTGGCTTCGAACTCACAGAGATCCACCTGCCTCTGCCTCCTGAGTGCTGGGATTAAAGGCGTGCGCCACCACCGCCTGGCTCTCTTTTTAAATTTTTTATGTGTAAAAAAAAAAAATTTATGTGTATATATAGTGTTCTGTAAGGATGTCTAAATGCCGGAAAAAGGCACCACATCTCAACATAGATGGTTGTGAGCTTCCATGTGTTTGTAGGGAACTGAACCTCAGAAAGAATCCAGTCACCTCCCCAGCCCCTGAACAATCGTTCATTATAAATACAATATATAACACACAATATAGATGTACAGCATAGATATATGAGGCAAAGACCAAGGCAGCTCTGAACCCTGCAACCACTGTGTGAAAGCACAGCTTTATTTCCTCTCTGAATTCAAGCTTCCTTTGTAACTGGTGATGTTTGTTTTAAGCATGCAGCATTTTGAGGGTTTGGAAGGAATTTTAAAAATTGTTCTTTTTTGTGGCTTTTGAGACAGGGTTGGTTTCTCTGGGAAGCCCTGGCTGTACTGGAACTAGCTCTGTAGTAGAGGATGGCCTTGAACTCAGAAATCTAGGTGCCTCTTCCTCCCAAGTACCGGGATTAAGAGTAGGCTACTACTGCCCAATTTAAAATTGTTTTAAATGTGTGTTTTGGGTAGTCCCATGGAGGTCCTACAAATCAAAGCCAGGTATGAGGCTGCACTCAAGCCAAGTGCTCCAAATTCCTATACTTTTACACATCTTGGTAAATTTTTGAGAACCAAAGAATTTTCAGCATCAAGGCTCTAACTCAGATCCTAAAGCTCACATTTCTAAGGATACTTACTTCAAGTAAAGACTCCAAAATCAGCCAACATCAATCATTCTCACCTAAAGAATAATAAGAAAAAGTTAATATGGAAGACAAGGGTATAAGATAAAGGCTTGAAAAATGCTAGTTAACTTCCAAACTTAAAAGAGCAAAATTCCAGAGATTAAAGACTGGAATAAGTTGTAGCACTTATAAAAAAAAAAAAAAAAGGAAGAAACTTTATGGGGGGAGTCTAAAATTATTCTTTCTGTAAGTACTAAGTAGATGACAGAATTAGGATGAAGACTATATCTTCTTTAAAATGCAAAAGCCTCATTTCCGTTTCCACCAGTCTGAGCACAATGAAGTTTGACTGCAACCCAAAATATACTATCCCTTATGTGAAGGTGTGTGACAACGTCTACCTTACTAAGTGAGCTTGAGCCATGAGCTCTACAGCACACCCTGCTTCCCCAGTCAATTTGCTATGGCTTTCATCCCTAGGTAGAATAACCTCCAGGAGTGCTTTGGCCCCTTTCCCACAGCACACAACACTGCAGTTCTTTACCCTGCATCCCTATGCATTTGCCTCAATCTTTGTCCTCCAAGTCCTCACTGTGTTTTAAAATTAGGGCAAGGAAGCTATGCCTTACTGGAACAGCAAGGAAAGTTTTTCTGAGGGAGAAGTCAATGGCCTGGCACGGTACACAAGAAACAGAAAGCTCAGCCTTAAATTCAAGTTCCAGGTTTTTCTTCCTGCCTGTATCACTACTGCCACAGGTATATGGGATAGTTCTGTTGCACATGGACCCTCCATAAGGGATACTATATCGTTTTGCATTCTTTCCCCATTCTCCAATTATCCCTATTCTATGTCCAGGCCCTTTTCATCTTCAATTTTTTCTCCAGCACTGGTGTTCAAAACACTATTTTTATGGTTGGTTATCAATAGCTGTTGAGATTTCCACATTTGCATCTAAAAAATTGCCAATCATTATCTAGCAGCAATGACAGATGATAAAGGAGCAGTTAAATCCTCTGGATTCTCTCCCTAGTAGGGAGCCATTTGAGAACTGCACTAGCTAGACAGCACTACATTATCAGCTAAAGCCAAAACCAAGAAAAGGCCCAGAACAAACACCCCAGAGCTCTAAAACCTATCCAAAATCATTAACACAAAGGCAGCAGTAAATGCAGGACTGTGGATCATGTCACTGCAGCTGACAATGATTAACAATAGGAGACATGCACCCCCATTAAAGTCCAAAACTAATCACAGGCATCTCTTCATTAGGGCGAGTGAGAGTATGCATTGCTGGTAGGCTGCAAGCAGCCTTTTATCAAGAGCACCCATTGTATCTCTTTCATCTTTCAGAAAGCACGGGGATCTGCTCCAAGGGCCTAACAGTATGATAATACATTCTGGCATCACACCTCTGAACCTAGGTTTTCATTTAAAAAAAAGTATTTTGGTTGCAACAAGGTTATGAAACACAATGCAAGCACCTCAGTATATAGTATTACTGAAACCCATTTAATTCCCAGTTTTTTTTTGAGTGGTTCAAACCCCAATATACTGTAAGATTCACAATTTACACCTACATACAAATTAAACTAGCCAGAATCTACTTAAGTTAATGGTTTCTCATTCTGAAGTACAAAAGCCTAATCTTAAAAAGCAGACCAATAGGGGGGAAAAAAAGCACCCACCCCAAATTCCCTAAGTCCATATTGTATCAAGTATATTCTCTACAAGTTGTTACTGTTCAGAATAAACCTGAGCTCTTGTTGTTAACATTGAAAATCGCAAACTGAGCCACGGTAGCAAGCTTGTGCTACCGATTTAACAGACTATGACACTGCAATACCCCCATCAGGGTTCCAGGCAGGAGAGTGATACTCAAGTCACACTGTAGGTTTGTATTCTATAAGGAACTAAGTCACCATTGTTTTCATCTATCAGTAATCACAAGTTGTTTGCTTGGAGTAAATACAAATCTGCCCCACCATCTGACTTGCCTGACCAAAAGCAAGCCATTTTTCTTGATACAGTGAAAGAAAATTCTCACAGTCCTGACGTATTCAGCGGCACATATGCAAAAGGAACCAAATTTCCAGTTATAGGGTAGGAAGCATTATGAGTGGAAGCTGTTTTCTCATGCACGCTACCTACTAAACACCAAAGTTTAAACTGATTAGGGTCTAGAACAACAGTGGATAGAAAGCTCAAGTCCTAAGCAACAAAGGAAAATGCTTTGAAGACTTATGTATTCCTGGGATTATTATTAAACGTTTTGGATTGGAATCAATCACATCCCTAAAACTAGGGCACGAAGTTCAAAGAGCTACTCTGAACAATGCACTCACTCTACAGAATACGACGAAGTCTTATTGTGGGGAGCAATTCCCAATGTTTTCAACTGTAGGAAAGCCAGAGTTTCACACTACTTTCCCCCAAGTTTAGAGTATAAACATACTTTGACAAGCCATATAACTTTAACTGCTCATAAGATTCCCATCTAAGCCCATGTTAGTAAGTGTTCCCATGAAGCCCGTATCTGGAAAAATTTGATCACATTACAAAAAGAAACAAAAAATAAAACCCAGAAAAAAAACCCACCCCTCGACCCTGTGTCATTTAGTCTTATTCAACTTGCAAAACAAATTACCAAGATTGCATCATGGAATTAGACACTGCTGACCAATGGGAGACCAAGTTTTGCTACTAAGGAGACTAATTGTCACATACTACAAGTCTTCTCCAAGGTGCTATGCACCCCAGGTCAAGTATGGTTTGTTTCCCTCCCCCACCACCAGATGTGTTCCATTTTATCTTCAGTTACAATGTAACTAAAGAAATACACAAAACTTCAAGACACACCAGATTCAAGTTTGCATTTTTTTCTGAGATCTCAAACACTGAATTCTTCCTAACAAATTACAGATCTAAGCCCACACCGATTTTGAATTAACCTAGCTTATCATACAAGTATCAGGTGCTGCACTGTAATTTCACTGTCAGAAGTGTGATGTCAGAATGCCCACTGAATAAAAGCACATAGCAAGTCACCAAGTTAGATTATATTGCTTGTTACCTACCTGTATGCAGTCGGCAATGAGAATCTTGGAGCAAGCAGGAATACTACATCCGGGTCCTAATGTCCATTGCCATTTGCGGTACTACGTTCCTCACAGTTACGCACTGCAGAAATGCTGGCTAAACGCAGTTATGTAGCAGGCCACTACTTTAATAGTGCACAATTGCAGTCCAAGAACACCACAAAACATTCCGCCACAACTTTGTGGCTTGCCCAAGCCAAATACCTAAATTTTTTATCTGCCATGCTATGCCACTTGTAAGAACTTCACAGGTTTATCACTACAGATTCCCCAGATTATCTGTTTGTATTAGTGGTACAACACACATAAAGAGTGGTGGGTTTTAATGTACTTAGGAACTTACTGTCCTAAGGACAAGAGAATATGCTCTCACCACATAATGTATGTATGGCAATGGGTCCAGCTTATAGCATGCCTATCAAATATATTACTGTCTTAGAGATTAAAACCTTTTTTTGGGGGAGGGGGGGTTGAAACAGGGCTTCTCTGTAGTCTTAGTTTTGCTGGAATTAGCTCTTGTAGGCCAGGTTGGCCTCAAACTCATAGATCCACCTGCCTCTGCCTCCCGAATACTCAGATTAAAGGCATGCGCCACCACCTCTCTGCTGAGAATGACTTTTTTAAAAGGAGAAAAATTTTTTGATTGTATCCTACAAACATAATTTTGAGGAAGTTAAGGAAGAAATAGGTGCAAGTGATTTCTTCCAAGAGAAAATGTCTAAAATACATCCTATTATATCTCCCCCTCCCACCCTAAGTTTCATTTTTAGCTTTTGGTTCAACTGCTCCAGTTGATTTAAATTCACTCTTAGGCTAAAACCATCACATGTAAGACTTGTTGTAAGTCTCAGTAGTTTACAAACCCTTGGTACACTGATCAAAGTCAATGTTGGTTGACACTATGCAACCTTATCTGCTAAACACGGTTTAGCAACTCTACAGCCCACAATAAAGGCTATCAAAGCCACAACCTCAGGAAATTATCCTTTACGCAGCCTTCACCACTCTTCAAAGGTATACTACTACCAAAAGCTTATTTTAGGGGTCTGTGCCAGCATCCCTTATAAAGAAAGGCATGTAATCTGAAAAATAAACTGAAACATTAATTTTATAGGCAGATTTTCCCATTCCCCTCCAGCCCCCACCCACATACATTCAAATTCACCCTCTATGGGTGTCCCATGAACACCCCTCAATTTTCTCATTATTATGGTCCCTACTATACAATTCAACTAAATGACCTCCTTTCAAATCCAGACCTTTGTTTCTTCCGTACAGAAAACCTTTATGTACCATCAATTGTTAACTTCACTTGGGCCAAAAACTTCCGAGTGCTAAAATTATGATGGAACTACCTATTTCCAAGTGTACTGGTGAAGAAAAATGAATGTATTTCTTAAGGAGATTTTCTCTCTTAATACACCATATACCTGTCAATCATAAAACCACTTGGTGGCATGCTTATAATCATCCACTAGTGTTAACTTTTAAAAATTACGGTAATTTCCTATTCATGAAGTACTCAATTATTTTCACAATAGGTCTCCTTTTGTACTCAAGCACAATACTCAACCTCAGCAAGTGATTTAGTTTCTTTTGCCAATTAGCACCAAGGATAGAGGTGAAAAGGATGAAGACATTTCATAGTGAAAGTTCTATAATGTATAGAGTTGAATGGAAATGTAACTAACAACAGAGCCAAGCCATTCAATTCCTTTACATACTGTTAGAAGATTTTCCTCTTAACATATTTACACTGGGAAGAAAATCAAGCTCCCATTATACTCAAAGACAACAGTAAACAATCTACTTTATTATTATCAAGTCAGAAAGTCTCTTGTTCTAATGAGAAATTCAATGAAGTTGACAATCAACTAACATCATAGAAACACCCCCAAGCTTACAGTGGGAGGAAAGAGTATACTATGTAGCCTGAGCAGCTCTCTCCAAGTTTAGTACTACATTAAAAAGAATGATATAAAAACAGGTCAGGTCAACTCCATAGTTAGAATGGTTATTGACAGTCCTACTTCTTGTCAACTAGCTCTTAAAAGAGAACCAGTAATTTTTTTCAGACTACAGATGTTGCTCAATAGAAGTAGCACAGGAGGTGTATGTTAAAGAGTAAATAAGGCTAAACCTACCTTATGGTTAACTAACCCTTAACTCTTCAGACTAAATCCCAATCTTTTAAATCACTTGAAGTAATACATGAAAGGCTTCATGTTTAACAATCTTTAATTCAAATGCAAAAGTTCAATACAAGCCAATTGTAGGGCTTGGGATTTATTCGTTTAAACAAAACAGTAGGGGAAATGCAACAAGATGATCTTTCCATTTTCAAAAGCTTTGAAGGAAAGGATCATAGATAGGGCCATAAGGGATCGTTTAACCAAACCCCCTTTCTCTCACTACCAGTAGTTTATACCCATTCCATATCTTAATACATGTTCCTGAATTAAGATTTACAGTTCAACTTTTCTAAAATAACCATTTAAAAATGCTTAGCACCAGCTTGCTTCCTATAATGCCAAAGAAATCCTAACTACTTCAATATGCATTTCTTTTTAAAACAAGGGGGGAAGAACACCATTTGCAGAAAGCAATACTTAGCCTCCAGATACATTTCCCAGAAATGGCATATGCCACTCAAAGGCCTAGACACGCTCATGCTTTTCAAGTGGAATACCTAGCCTAAATGTGCATAGAAGCATGAATGGCAAAGTTGAAGATCAATATTATAACTATTTTTCTATTTATTCGAAGCACAGTAAAAAAAAAATGGTACACTTTGGAAATTCAGTGGCACAAGGTACACTGCCATTAACTTGAGAAACATTATACAGTTTAAAAAAAAAAGTAAATAAAAAGAATTTTTTTTCTCCTGTTGCAAACACTGCGTTACATAATTTTACCTGCCCAAACAGACCATTTACAAATATCAGGTCAATAAACTGCTAACATCCATAAAAAGGTAGCTTTCTTACTAAAATGCAAGAATTTAAAAGTGGTATCTAAACAAGAAAAGACAAAAACAAACTGGAATGAAAGGCTAGATATCTAAAATCGGGGTTTCTTGTTTGGCCCTTCATACTCTTCTCGCCCTCTACCGTACCCTGCTGGAGTTCCAGGACCCATTCCTCTAGGACCCTGTCCACCCACAGGACCCGCACCTCCCTGCCCAAAGCGCTCAGTACGCTATTGGAACAGTAAATTAACAGTTCATTAAATGTAGTTGATGTCCATGTGTGTTAAGTAAATATTTTAGAAGGTTCCGTAGTCAACGTTCGTCGATACAATCACCAATGAGTCGATCCACAGGTACCGGGAACATAGAAAGGAAAAAAGGGTAATTTGAAAATTAGTTTACGATAATACATGCCTTGTGGTATGTTCCCACTTGAGCCATTCTCATACACCTGTTTCAAAGAATAGATCTTCCCTGTAGTGCTAAAAAATTTAAGAATTAGTGCAGATGTGAAAACCCATTCCAAAATGAGTTCTAAGAAATTCACATCAGATTAATCCGCTGAAAACACTTGTCCAGGTATGAACAAAAACTGATCTCCAAGCCTAACAAGCCCAATCAGACAAAAGCAACTCACTCAGCGAAGTGACAAGAACCTACTCACCAGTTAGTGGCATGTGCTGCGTAAGAAACCTTGTGCTTTTCAAGATCTTAAGACACATCTGCTAAGCTGCAGAAATCTTAAAAGGTTGAAATAAAGCTTAATAAAATGCTACCAGACTACAAAAGAAAAAGCACAAAAATAGCACCTAATAGATTTTTTTTTTACTTAACCGGCACAGTACCTTGATCAAAAACTCATGTTGCCACAGTCTCACAGCACATCACACTTCAGAGCCATCACTAGAAACCAGACACTGACATGCACAGTATGTTTTTCTGCATTGTTACAAACACAATATACAGCCCACCAATTCAAAAGTCCAACTTTTTCTTAGTTTTGGAATGAACTGTCACTTTGCTATGATTCCATGTTTTAGGTTATCTCCCAAACCTATCACCAAGCTAGGGTGACTGCATTAAAACAGAGTGACTGACTTCACTACTCCATCTAGTTTTAGGGACTTTCACTTTAAACAAGTAAAATAAAACCCACATATCCTAACAAGAGAATCCTACAGGCATTCCATTACAATTCTACTCAAAATAACCCAATTACTGGTCATTACTGAAAATAAAAAATAAAGAATGCACCAGGCTTTAACTGTTCCTACCAACTTAAAACGAAACACTACAGAACTGCTTGAACAAACTACTTTCGGTCTGCTACTTTTGGGGAAAAAAAAAATCTTCAAAACTGTATGGCTTCTATAAAAGATCTAAAAAGAAAAATTGAGGCTTCAGAGTTATATTACAATAGCTAAGAACTCATAGTTGTTAAATGTATAAACCTCTTTCTAGACAGAACTTACATGTCAAACTAGTCAACAAATTTGATATATACACCTGTGCCTTCTAGAAAGGCCAAAATGTTAATTATATTTGATTAAACCTAACAGCACTATATCCAACCATTTATAAAGCTAATTTAAAATGTTTTAAATGAGGCCTCACACTAAAACCTACATAGAAAATAAGTCCTGAGCTATGAAATGAAGCTCCTTTGTGACAAAAGCCTACCGGTGAATTACTTAGATTCAATTTAGTTGCAAAAATTTATTCCCACCAAAATCCAGTTCCCTAAGTAGTACTCTACAGTATAGCCACTCACACCAGAATTCACTTTGCTGTTGTAAATAAAGCACCTGACAGGCTATCTCAATAGAGAAATCAAGATTGCATCAAGGGACGAATGCACACAATCAGTATGCTTGAATTACTGTTGATTTTTGCTACCCTGTAGCAAAGTAGAAAACATCAGTTTCTTTTAGATGTTACCTACAGAGAAACCCAACAGATGGGATACGACGAGTCAAAACACTAGACAAGTTCTTTTTCATGGGCTAGAAATAGAAACCACACCAATTATAGGCCAAAGTCCTACCTATCACTCTAACATGCTTAAGGCCATACAAGCCTTGAGATTTTGACTGATTCCTACTTATGGCAAATACCAGCTTGAAGAATGGCACTGTGCCATTTCTCTCACTTGGACAAAGAAAAACCTTATCTAGCATGTAAAATTTGGATTTGCCATGCACTAAAGGTTCAATAGTGCACAGACAATAAAATGGAAAACACCTATCTACTTATTGCCAAAGATAACTCCACATACAACAGCATTGACTCCTTGTTGGCAACCAGATCTGTTTCGGTTACCATACACATAGTTCTACATTGCCAAAGTAGTCCTCAGTATTGTATACAGTTACAAGGTGGGGGAACTAAAAGTCCAGTCAGCTACTTAAAAAGAGAGAAAAGGGAGAGGAAAAACAAACACTTAAGTCATGAAATTAAAAATTTCCTTTGTACTATATCCCACAGGATACATTACCATGTCGCTTCCCATCATGGAACCACTCATGGTTGCTGGTGGAACTCCAGGATTAGCTTCATAACCTATGCCACCACCACCACCTAGAGGTGGAAATTTCTGGCCTCCTGAACCATAGGGATCTAGGAAACAAAAACAGTGGTTATACCAACAGAATACTGTTGCTCAGGGTTATGCCCTTAATTTGGTTCTCTCACTTACCTCCCATGTTCATTGTTCCACCACCACCCATTCTCATGTCTCTTTCTCTCTGAGGGGGAAAAAAATAACTCTTACTTATATGTGAAACCTACATCACAAGAAATTTATGTGGGCTTGGGAGTCACAAACTCCAACACTTAGAAGACAGAGTCAGGTAGATCACCATTTGACACCAACCTAGGATAGAGAATTTCAGGCCAGCCACAGCTACATAGCAAGACCATGCCTCAAAAAAAAGCGTGTTTTTCTATTTGATTGTGGTATGCAAGTGTCATGAAAACTGGTTAGACTATCAAAACAAAGGAGAGGGCGGGGCTGGAGAGATGGCTCAGTGGTTAAGAGCACTGCCTGAGTTCAATTCCCAGCAACCACATGGTGGCTTACAACCATCTGTAATGAGATCTGGTGCCCTCTTCTGGCCTGTAGACAGAAGAGAATACTGTATACATAATAAATAAATAAATCTTTAAAAAAAAAAAAAAACCCTCCAGGGAGTTGGGTAGTTGTGGTGCATGCTTTTAATCTCAGCACTGGGGAGTCAAGGCAGGTGGACCTCTGTAAGTTAGTCAAAGCTGTTACACAAAGAAAAAAATTAACTACAAAAACCCCAAGCAAACAAAATTACATGAAATGTGATCTAATACCACACAATACAAGACAGCTCCATCAAGAGATACATTTACAAGGAGTTTTTTTTTTTATGCTCTTCAGTATCTACAGGCTAGGCTTCACAAGACAGCTCCAATTAGGCTACAACACAAAACTTACTGGGTCCATGTAGCCCATCCTGCTGTAACTTTCTTCTCGTTGGCGTCTCATTTGCTCTTCCATCTCTCTTTGGCGTATCATCATCTCTTCCTCTCTTCTACGCCGTTCCTCCTCTTGCCTACAAATGTTTTTCAGGTGCATGAAGTTTCATCTTTACCTTTACAATTTATACTTAAGAGGCTAGCAAGGTATGGTGACCCATGCCTTTAAAACAGAGTGCTCGAAAGCAAAGGCAGAGAGGGAAAGGGATCTCAAGCTAGTACCATGAGGCAATGACTTCTTTCAAAAAGAGTTAGTGGTGGTTTGTATTAGAATTTTACAAAGTGTAGGTTAAATATAAGTTTCAAAGTCTATATGACATAACTATCTACAAACAGCAGCATTCTGAAAGAATAAGCTTTCCTAATGCACACGTGCACTTAGTACATTTTGTCTACAAGGTAGAAGTGAAGACTAAATTTAACACTATACCTCAACTGCATTTCTTTACGTTTCTGCATTTCTTGACTGTGAAGTTCTTCCATGCGCCTCAATTCTTCCTGGCGTCTCATCAAATCTAAGCATTGGGAATTAATATTTTTAGATTCATGTTAGTGAGGCTCTGGCCATATCAAAAATGTCAACTGATCCTTACCAGTAAAATTCTGAGGCTTTTTTACCTTGGCGCAAAAGATTTGCTTGATGCTCATGGTAAGCATCTTCCATTTCACTTTCCAATTTATCTTTTGCATCTTTCATGTTTTTCTCAACTTGTTCCCTTTGCTGTTTTTCCATTTCATCTAAGGACTTCCATCGTTGAGAATATTCATACTCAAATGTGCCATGCTGAGCAAAACGAGGAGGTGTTTCTCTCTCCCTGACAAAGCAAAGTTTATATAAAGCCAATTTGAGAATGTAATATTACCTGACTTCCTTAAAAAAAAAAATCCAAAACGTTAAACTAGACCTTTATATAATCCCAGCACTTGGGGAGACAGAGACAAGCAGATCTGAGTTCCAGGAGAGCCAGAAGTACAGAGAAACCCTGACTTGAAAAAACTTAAGTACCTGTAAGCATATAGGCCCAGCAGTAAAGCACTTGTATAAGCATGGAACATAATGTACAATGCCTTGGACTTGATCCCCAGTACCAAGGACAAAGAAACACAACACAGGATCCTTTCCCTATATTATTGTATTGTTAAGATCCCCAACTTGCAACTCTGCTCAACTATGTTAAGAAACACAACTTATATCAGAATGCTATGGTTAAAAGGGCTGGAAAGATGGCTCTGCAGTAAAAAGCACAGCTCTTGCTCCAAGGGACCCATCATGTTTGCTTCCTAGCATCCACAAAGCTATGAGACCCTCTTCTTGTCTCCTTGGAAACCAGGCACACAAGGTGCACAGACATACATGGTGGTGCGCACACCTTTAATCTCAGCACTCAGGAGGCAGATGGATCTCTGAGTTCGAGGCCAGTCTGGTCTACAAGAGCTAGCTAGTTCCATGACAGGCTCCAAAGCTAGAGAAACCTTGTGTCAAAAAAACTAAACTGTACTTTGTAAGCACTGCTTAAAAAAGGGTTTCTGTCAACACTTTCACTCCCCTGAGCCCTTTGCTTTAATCTCCAACTTTTTGAGACAAGTCTCACTGGCCCTGGCTGGCCTGGAACTTGCCTCCTAGACAGATATAAATGCAACCATGAATTATTTATCTAAATTGTATTGAATCAAGGAGTAAGTTATGACATAGGATAAAGGCATGATGATGTATGAGTTCTAGGCCAGTTTGGTCTACAGGGAGGTCCTAAGTCTAAATTTAAAAAAAATTAAAAGACAGAGTAGGAAAAAGCACCACTTTCCCCATTTTCTATCATCCAGGCTAATTTTCCCACCAACACCAAGCAGATCTTATGCATTTTAAGCATTTGTCTGGGTCATATGTGAACGTACTTAAAAATAACCCAACAACTTCAAGTTCTGCCTGTCTTGGCACAGACTTTTAATCCCAGCATTCTAGAATGCTGACAGGTGGATTCCTGGGTTTGAGGCCAGCCTGGTCTTTGTACAGTCAAGGCTACAGAGAAACCTTGATTCCAAAAACCCAAAGCTACTCCACCCCAACCTCCCCCCAATCTGTCTAAGCCAGAAATCTGTATAAAGCATACTCAAGCAACATTGTAAAAAAATATTCCTAAAACTTGGCTTAATGGCTCACACCTATAATCCCAGCACTTGGGAGACTTTGAGTACCAAAAAGCTTAGTCTTACTTTTGATACATTGGATTCTTCTGGGCCAGTTTTTCAGGAAGACCATCTTCATCATCTAACTGTTCAAGAGGTTCCACAATGACTGGACGAGGAGTCCTAGTAACAGAAATGATTCCTCACCTTAACTTCCTTTCAACTTTAACTATCCCCCAAATTGATAAAAAAAAAAAAATCTCATAAGCAAAAGACAACTTACGTTGTCAGTAGGAAAACACCTTCACTGCATCTTTCAAATGCTTTTCTTGCTGCTGGCTTTGAAGCAAATTCAACAATCCCTTTCCCTGTAGATCTTCCGCGATCATCCACAATTACAACAGCCCTTTCAATAGGACCAAACTGGCTAAAGGCTTCTTCCAACAGTTCATTAGAAACATAGGGTGAAAGATTCCGAACAGAAAGGGCTGCAGCGTGTGTGGCAAAGCGAACCCGAAGCTGTCTACCTCTCATGGGAGTATCATCAAGTTCAGCTTTGGCGATTTCAGCCAAGGCTCTAGATTCCTGTAAATATCAGAAACATTGTAAACCGTTCCAAACCTAGCAATGTCCAATGAATGTATAAATACCCTTCCTATTTCCAAAACTCAACTGAAGTTGAGTCTTCTGGCAGCCCCTCCCAGCATCCAGGGCCAAAGGTCTGTCTTTGCTTCTTTTTTCCCAATACACACTATACTGATCTGTATCGACGGTGAAAAACTTAAAGGCCAATTAATTCTTTACATTTAATACCAAGCCTTCAAGAGTTTACAGAAGTAAAAAGGAACTATGACACTTCTTTCTAGTACGTATGTAAAAAACAAACCAAAAACACTCACAAGTTTAATGAACCCGAACCCTTTGCCTTTGTTGATAAAAACTTCTCCGGGTTCTCCGTATTTAGCAAACAGTCTTTTGAACTCATCCTCTGTGATATCAGCAGGTAGGTTCCCCACAAATAAACGACAGCGTTGTGTGTAAGTTTTTTCTCCAGGCCTCCGCAAAAGAGACAAATTGGCTTTAAATCCCTAATGAAGAAAACTGTAATTCAGACACCAAAGCAGAAAACAGAAACAAACAAAACCAATTCTGGTTGTCCCAAATAGGCCATATCACCCATTCGTAACGATTCTTTTTTTCCAAACAAACACTGCCAGGTTGTTACCATATTTGGGGACCCAACAGGATCTCCAACTCTACCATCAGAAAGAAGCCGTGATCATACTAACTGCTTTAAAGACACCCGCCTTTACCAGCAAAAGCCAATCAACAAGAAATGCTGACGTCAACAAATACATCTAAGAGAATAAAATGAAGACGGGAACTGCGCTCAACTGCCCTGTCCTCTCCAACATCACTGAAATCCACTAGAACGCTCCCAAGGGACGGCCTGCTTCCAGCATCCCACCGCTGAGCGAACAGCTGCCCTCCCGAGGCGAGGAGCTTGCATTCCTGCTGGAAGCCAATCCCCACGCAAACTACTTTCCTCGCCGGGCTTCAGCCCCGCCTTCGCGAGCGTGCGCAGGCGCGCTTCCGGCAGGCAACAAAATGGAGGCCGGGGCTGCCGCGGGCGGGGGGAGGGTAGTGGAGGGGGGAAAAAAAAACGCCGAGGGTAGGAAGGCGCCGCCATCTTAGGGGAACGAACCGCTCGCTCGTGGAATTACTCACCTCTGAGTCGGATATCTTTTCTTCTGTGCGGGCTACCGGCGCTCCGGGAGGGGGCCCCTGGTGGTGCTGCTGGTGGTAGGGCGGGTGGTGCTGGCGGCCCCCGCGGGGCTCCCCGCCACCCCGGTGAGGTGGCTTCGGGTGGCCACCGGGAGCGCCCATGCCCGGGCCACCTCCGGGCTTAGGCCCACCAGGCATCTTGCCGCCTTTCGGGCCGCCTGGGCCCGGGCCTGGGCCTTGCTTAGGCCCGGGCCCGGCGCCAGCGGCGGGTGGAGGCGGAGGGCCGCCGGTCTGTGGCGGGGTGGTCGCCACTCCGCTGGTCGGCGTCGATGGCGGAGGCGGTCCGGGGGCAGTGGATGTGACGGCGGGCGGAGGGGTCGGGGCGGGCCCCGGGCCCGGCGTGGCGCCGGTGGCCGGGGGATTGGCGGGAGGGGCCGAGCCGGCGGGAGGCGGCGCAGGGCTCACTCCGGGCGCAGCGCCGGGGCCTGGGGGGACGACGGGCTTGGACGAGTCCTGCGGCGGCGGCGGGGGCTGCTGATGGGGCGGCTGATGCGGCGGCGGCTGCTGGTGCGGCGGGGGTTGCTGCGGCGGGGGCTGCTGCGGCGGAGGCTGCTGCTGCTGCTGGTGCGGAGGCGGAGGCGGGATCGGTGGCTTCGGGCCGCCAGGGCCCGGGCCCATGGGGCCGCGGTTCTGGTTAAGGCCCATGCCGGGCGGCGGTGAGCGGAAGTCATGAAGGCCGCCGCGGCCACCGCCTCCTCCACGCCGGTGAAAGCCGCCGCCGCCACCGCGACTCCGGAACCGATCCCGAGACATAGCTGCAGTCAAGGGGCGGTTGAGGCAGAAGCGGAGAAGTCGCTCGGGGAACGTGGATGCCACCTTGCTTCGCACAAAATGGCGGACGACACAAGCTGCGCGCCGCCTTTGTCCTCTTCTTAAATAGGCCAGTTCGGCTTGGCCCGCCTTCCCTAGATTGACAGTTCGCTCGGCCAATAGAAAGTACAGTAGTTGATGATGACCCGTTAATCCTCCCTATTGGCTCCCTCGAGAGAGGCGGGAGGAAGGGAGGGGCTAAGGTTTCCATTTGACCTATGAAGGGATAAGGAGTTGTGAATACGCCTCTGTGATTTGTTGGAAGAAATTTGAATGGGCATGCCTCGCGACTTCCCCGTGAAATCAAATGTCCCGGCTCTTTTATTCTTCTTTGAGCAGTCCGCTATTCCTGTTCAGAAGAAGTTGTTCACTAGTTCAAAGTTATAAATTGAGCACCTGCTATCTAACTCTTCTTTGTGCCGGGACAATGAAGTTAGAAAAAAATCTCACAGTTTAACCACAAAGATTTTATTTAATTAAAACCCCATCGGAGGCTATCAGGTTTGGCATGTGAGCCCATCATTTGGGAGGTGGAATCAGAATGATCAGGCGTTCGTTTATCTCTACATTATCACCTACATTCAGTTTGAAGACAGCTTGTGCCACATGGAACGTCAAAAAAAAAAAAAGAAAAGAGAAAAACAAAAATGTGAACACGTTTGTTATAGTACTATATAAAATTTGCCATTAGGTTTAAGCGAATACAGTCTTTGTCAAAGAGGAAAAGTGGGTTAGAGAGCTTAGGACACAGTCTTTGTGGTTATGGCTTTCTTGACATGCAGAAGGCTCAGTTTAATCCCTACAGAGGGGTGAAAGAGATAGATATTACTACATGTGTGTATACAGTAATCACTTTAAAACACAAATCGTGAGAGAGGAGCACAAGTTTTTCTGTTGGTTTTGTTTTTTCGAGACAGAATTTTGTATGTAGCCTTGGCTGTCCTGGCTCAGTAGACCAGGCTGGCTGGCCTTAAAGTCAGTAATCTGCCTCCCTCTGTCTCCCAAGTGCTGGGACTAAAGGCTTGCAACCACCAGATTGATTGAGATTTTTTTCTTTTTATTCTCTCCATTTAACATTTCATGAACAGATAAGTGACTTTGAAAATTAGTTGGGTGAGAGCCAGGGATGGTGGCACATGACTTTAATCCCAGTACTTGGGAGGCAGAGGAAAGTATATTTATGTGAGTTAAGAGGCCAGCCTGGTCTACATAGAGAGTTTCAGGACATTGAGGACTACATAGAGAAACACTGTCTCACAAAAATAACAATTAGTTGGCTGGGATGACACTCTGTAATTCCAAAATTTAGGCAGTAAAAGCTGGAGGCACATAGCCAGCATCATTTACACATTGTAACGGCGTAAGCTAATGCAGACAGATTGTCAAAATACAGACAGCTTGCCGGGCGGTGGTGGCGCACGCCTTTAATCCCAGCACTCGGGAGGCAGAGGCAGGCGGATCTCTGTGAGTTCGAGACCAGCCTGGTCTACAAGAGCTAGTTCCAGGACAGGCTCCAAAACCACAGAGAAACCCNAAAAAAAAAAAAAAAAAAAAAAAAAAAAAAAAATACAGACAGCTTTAACGGAGGAATAGACTTACAGAACCACCGTTCCTGCTCCCGTGGAGACCAGGAAAGCAGAAGCGAGGGCTGGGCGCACGCTCCAGCCAAATTTATAGGCAAACTTTAGCCTGAGGCGAACACGCCCCCTAAGGGGTGGGACTTATCCCTACAACACATCACGTTCCCAGACAGCCAGAGCTACTTAGTGAGACCCGCTTTCAAAAAACAAAAGTTACATGCTGGGCAGTGGTGGCGCGTGCCTTGAATCCCAGCACTCAGAAAGCAGAGACAGGCAGATCTCTGTGAGTTCGAGGCCAGCCTGAGGTCTATAAGAGCTAGTTCTAGGACAACCAGGACTGTTACACAGAGAAAACCCTGTCTTGAAAAACAAAAACAAAAAAGTCACAATATTATATATTATGTTGGGTATGCTATAATCATAAGACTCAAGAGGCAAAGGTAGGTGGATCTCTATAAGCTGGAGACCAGCCTGCTCTACATAGTGAGTTCCAGACCATCAAGAGCTACACAGTGAGACTCTAGTAAAAAAAAAATTATGGAGAGTTAAAAACAAAACTCTTTAGTGCTTGCCTAGCTTGCCAGCCCTTTTATACTTTGAGGCTCTAGGTCCAATCCTCAGCTCCACAAAAACAAAAATCTAAATTTTATAGGATATGACAGTATTGATAAGCATCGGTATGCAAACAACCTGATAAAAATGATTCCACCAATTCCCCTGCTTCCACAGATCCTTAAATTGTCACATTAAATTTTGCTTTGTTTTGTCCTTTTACAGTTTGTGGTGTGTGTGTGTGTGTGTGTGTGTGTGTGTGTGTGTGTGTATGCATATGCGTGCTCACCATGCACACGGAGATCGGAGGACAGCTGGCCTGGCCAGTCAGAGTTACAAATTGTGTTCAAAATAATGAACACAAACACAGGGCTCTCTAAAGTCACCCACGTGTTCTAGCCTGAATGACAAAAGGTGTTGAGTCTGAAAAGTGTAATCAGCACATCACAGGAACTTTGTGAAACTTCTTAGAAGAATGTTTGTCTTCTGATTTAATAGCAAATTGAGGGAATAAATGGGAATGGCGGTTAATACCTTTAATCCTAACACCCAGGAATTTAAGGAGAATCACTGCAAGTTCAAGGACAGCCTGAGCCATCTAGGCCAGCCAGGGCCGATGTAACAAGACTCTTAAAAAGAGTGTCAAGGTGGCATATGCCACCATGCCTAGCATGAAGATAATAATTTTTTTTTTCGAGACAGGGTTTCTCTGTAGCTTTTGGTTCCTGTCCTGGAACTAGCTCTTGTAGACCAGGCTGGCCTCGAACTCACAGGGATCCACCTGCCTCTGCCTCCCGAGTGCTGGGATTAAAGGCATGCGCCACCACCGCCCGGCCTGATAATAATTTTTAAATATTTATGGGAGGGCAAAAATTATATTTATTTGGGACTGGGAATGTGGCTCAGTGTCTCACCTAACATTTGTGGTTAAGTCCCCAACACTACATAAAAACCAGCATGGTGGCACATATCTGCGTTGCCAGGTATGAAAGTGGATGCAGGAAGAGCTGAAGTTTAAGGTCATCCTCTGTACAAATTGCATTCAAGGCTGGATGACCTGCAGAACGAGAGATACAAAGCAGTTGGAAGACAGACTAGACCCAGCTTCTTTCAACATCATTACCCCCTGCTGGATATTGATGCATTTCTGTTAATAGGTCCTGCCGCACCAGCACGGCAACTGTATTGTTCTGAGCGAGGGACGTCGGGATTAACACACAACACAACTTCAGGTTCTGCAGACAAAGCCTTTATTCCACTTTCTCACACAGTATATATAGTCGTCAGCATGGGAGGCCTAGCCAGCAAAAGCAAGAAGCTCATCAGCGTAGGGGTAAACATCTTTAGAAAGATTGCTGAAAACAAGATTGTTTTGTTCTTGTTTTTGCTCTTGTTTTTGGAACAAGCAACCACAAGAGTGCAAAACATCAAGTGGGGGTGCGAAGGCCTGTCCTCAAGGGACCCAACAGGTCCCACTTTATGAGAGAAGAAAAGCAGAAAACCAGTGGATATGCTGACATCTTACAGACATTGTCTAGCCTTGCATTCCAAAAAGCCTGGCACGGCATCACAGCATAGGACCACCAGCCTATAAGGACATAAGCATGGTCATGGACCAATAAGACAAAGCTCATGAAGACACACGGGAACGGTTCATGGGTTTGTACCAATAAAGCCTGCCCTGAACTCAGTCAGATGACCTCCTCTCCTTGAGACACTCAAGACTTTCCTCTTCCTTTCCTCTTCCTGATATGGTCACAGTCCTCCAGATGTTCCAAATAGTGTACACAAACCTGCAGCACCAATGTGAGAGTGGGCACGGTGTGCCATAGCCACCAGCCTCTTGGTTTGCCTTCCAAGTGCTGGGATTACAGGCATGTGGCCAGCCCGGATTTAGTTCTCATAACAGTCACTCATGTTAACAGTGTAGACACAGTGGTAAATGTGTATGTGAACATGAGGGCAGTGACTAAGCGTCCTTCGGGTGGTTGTTGTGTTCCTTGTGTGTGTGTTCATTTATTTATTTTGTGTAGGTGTGTATATGCATCTGTGTGCCACAGAATGCTTTTTTTTTTTTTTTAAAGATTTTTATTTATTATGTATACAGAGTTCTTCCTGCATGTATCCTGCAGTACAGAAGAGGGCACCAGATCTCATTACAGCTGGTTGTGAGCCACCATATGGCTGCTGGGAACTGAACTCAGGACCTCTGGAAGAGCAGCCAGTGCTCTTTACCTCTGAGCCATCTCTCCAGCCCCCCCCCCCAAGAATGCTTTTAGAGGTCAGGGAACAACTTGTGGGAGTCAACTCTCTCCTTCTTCCAGCACATGGGTCCTGGGGAAACTGACCTCGGGAGACGCGGCTTTATGGCAGGTGCTCCCGCTCTGAGCTATGGCCCTGGCTCAAGTTTTTTTTTTTTTTTTTTTTGTTTCGCTTTTTTTAAGGCGGCGTTTCTTGGTGTAGCGCTGACTGTCCTGGGACTAGCTCTGTAGTGGTGCATTATTGAGCTCGAGTGGTATGAAGCACAACCTTCACCTTGTAGCACTCTGCATGCAGGCGAGCTTACCACACAAGCACTGTAATTACAATACACGAACGTTATAATTATCCCCTGGTTTGAGTTTTTATGAGGCCTAGAAGGTCAAGGGATAGGAATAATATGCTTGATGAAACACAGTTTTGCTTGCTAGTGAATTTTAATTCAATTAACGAAATTTGCATCTTCAGCTGAACCCGGAGGGCTTGTGAAAAGCCAACGTCGGCCATCGCTTGTTAATTTAACTCTGTGGTTCTCTCTTGTTAATTTAACTTTGTGATTCTCTCAGCTTTCCTCAGGCCATTCTTTTTTGGATGTATTGGGATGTGTCTTTGGATTTTTCAGTCACCCAACGGAGACCTGAAATTACTTGGTTTGGGGA